GAAAGGAATTACTATTTGCTAAACTTAACTCTTATACCTTACGCGGACACGTATATTATCCCCTTTTCCTTACAGGTAGACGATTTGCATGAATAAAGTTAAATCATTTGAAACCTTGGCCAATGTACCTTGCAACTTGCATGATTCGTTGCCCATAATTCCCAGTTACCGGGGACAGATGGCCATCGGAGAGGACTAGTTTCTATTTCAAAGCATCTCAAAAGGATAGGAGTCAAGAAATGGTTATATAGTAACTGCCGGTTTTTTTTTTTTTATCCCTTCATTAACCTCTTCAAAACCTATGTCATACGACAACTTATATTCAACAAAAAAATCTACGATAATTCTGGTTAGAATGTACGCAGTACATTGATAATTAAGTATGAATATAACCAAGAAATTCCCAAACTCAAGACTAGAAGTCCACATAAAAAAATTATATAACGGGCCTTTATTAGCCATGAAACAAAGAAAAATTTTCTTAGCAAAACCAAAAACCAATTTCAAAATAAAAAAAAAACTCATATTAACAACCCGTAAAAAAATTATTAATTTTTTCATAAGAATTGCTAAAGTGGATAGTCATTTCTATTCCACCAAAATTAAAAAAACTAAATTCAAAACAAAAACATATATTCATGGCACCATCTGAAATTGATAAATAAGTTTCTTCTATCAGTCGAGAGAGGACCAAGAGAGGATTCAATTTTACTTCATTTTTATTGCTTTGTATGGATTGATGTTTATCTGTCTCCTTTTGAAAATTGCAAAAGCTATGCAATTAGAGAAGGAACGAAGACGAAACAGGGAACGGAAAACAATAGAAAGACGGACAACATTATACAGCTCTATTGGAAAAAATAAAAAATAAACTAATAAATTAAATTAAATAATTAACCGGTTAAAAAACCTATTGCGCAATAGTGTTTCCTTAACATGTGTAAAAATGATTATAAATTTCTCTATAATACAGGGAAATTTCCACGAATTCTATATAGTTAATTGATGGCCTAAATATCATTATATATGTAATTGATGCCTAAAATACCTACAATTTTGGTATGTGGCTTCTTTTAGCCTTGATTTTAATTAAAGTTATTATTTAGCATGATTTTATTATCAATTTTTAAGTTTTTTAGGCTTGGCAATTAATTGCTATTTTAATAAAAAAAAGACCAAAAATAAGTAATTATGTTAACATTAAAATAAAATTAATTAGTTTCAATTTTCTTATTAAAGCCCTTTAAATTATTGAAACCAAACGAACCCTTATAAATGATTCTTTAATGCGAATATAAATTCTCTTGAAATTATTTAATCAACATAAAATTCTCTTGACTTACTTTTGATTCCCGAATAATTTTAGCCGTTAGTAAGCTTTCTTCTTTTCAAAAAAAAAAAAAATAATAATAATAAAATCTTGACTTTTGCTTTAAGATTGCATTAGATTAAAATCCGGAATATATCCAGTTTTTGTAAATGGATATTTAAAATTGCATAAAATTCACTAAATTATCGCTAAGGTAAAATCTATCCATTTTCCCATGTGTCCAATGAAGTCAAGAAAAATTACTCTTCTCTGTCTCCAAAATATAAATTATTTTAAAAAATTATATCCCACAATATAAGTTGTTTTTAAATATTTTAATGTTAAGTTAATAATAACATGATTATTGTTCCACGGCTACCTTTATTAAATTACAATATAATAATATTTTCACAAACAAGTTATCTTTTGGTTTTCGAGATTAAAATGGTTTCTTTTCATGGAAATTAAATATTTTATCTATTTTAGTAGAGTTCAAACTTTATTATTAACTTTTCAGTTGAAACGTTTTAAAAGCTAAATGTTACAGGGTAAACATTTATTAAAAACGCTAACTATAACCTTTAAAAAACTAATTCAAACACTATGTTATAAACACTATAAAAAGAAAGCATTTAATATTTGCTGTCAAGACGCTAAAAGGTATTTAAAATACTGTTGCCAAATAGTATCTAAAATATAATTTAGTTTCAAATATCTTTTATTTTTTTTATAATTTATGGAAAAAATTAAATACTTATTTAATTCCGTATAAATTCTTTAATGATTTATTACTTTAATTATAAAATTTTCCGGTGCCATGTAAACGATGTGAACTTGCGCAAAACAAACAAAGAAATTATTATTTTTTGAAAATGTTTGCCTTTTTTTTTTTTAGGAGAAAGAAATTCAAAATACAAGCAAAAAAAAATGGCCCACTATAGCCATGAACACATTCCTCCTCCGATTTTCAATTTCAAAAAAAAATGAAATTATTAGGGACCCCGATAGTTTTTATAGACGATTCTTAAAAATGTTAGTTTCAATTCGAATTTAAATACGGATAAATTTTTTTTTACCTTTTTAGTTTTTTTAACTAAACAAGAAAATTAATAACAAATTAATAGTATTAAATTAAAAAAAGATTAAAAGAGTAAGTTAGTAGTTTAAAAATTTATGAAAAAATTAATAACTACACAAAAACATAAATTTAAAATTCTCTACTAGTATTTAATTTCTATAAATTTAAATGAGGAACATGCAACAAAAAAATGATTGATATTTAACTTATAGGAGAAATTTCAATGGAGTTTAAGAAAAAGAATTGATATTGTTGAAAGAAAAAGGAAGATTATTTAAAGTATTTATAGGTTACATATAAATTTTTCTTCATAAAAAATGCCCTTCCAAATACTTTGTTTTTACTGTTTTATTAAAGGATAAAAGATGTCTTATTAATTTTATTTAACATTTTATTTAACAATTAATAAAAAATATCATAATATAAAATTTTTATTTCAAAATATATACTTCAGGTAATACTGTTACAAAGGGGTAAAACGTCTTTCTATCTAAATTAAGAGTAAAAAAAAAAATACAATATAAATTTTTATTTCAAAAAAATACCCTTCAAATTGCCTTTTTTTTACCATTGTAAGAGAGAAAATTATTTTTTGTTTTATTTAAGAGTCAAAAATAAATTTAAATAAATATTATTTAATTTATATGTAAAAATATATGTGGGAAAAGATTTAAATTAAAAATATTTAAATGAAGCATTTTTTTTCTCTTTTTTTTTCTATTTTTCAACTATAATTTATATGTTATATTTGTATTAATAAATTTTAAGATGATAGTAAAGTTACTGCATTTAATGATGAAAAATAAAATTAATTTAACAATTAAAAATCACGTGTGAAGTGTGAAGTGTGATATTTTCTTTTCTTTTTTTTTTTTTACGGTTTCAAATCGGAACCACCAGGTTTAATTTTCAAATATAAGAAACTGCAAATGAACCTTAATCCGCCAGTTTCAATTACGATTTGAAACCTTGAACCGTTATCATAGTTTGATTCCAGTTTTGACTGATTCGATTCCGATTTGGAATCGAACCGTGGTTATGCCTAGCCCACTAGTCGCGGCCGGATTAATATGTATTTATGCCGAATAGATCACGAAAAGACAAATCATTTCCTATTAAATTTTGAAACGCTTAATACTTACGACTCAAACTCGAGGAGAATGTTTATTATCTCATTTCACCCGTTAATAGTAAAACTGCTTTTGTCTTATTTCTTTCGTATTATGTTATTTTCATAATACTTGTCACGTTTAAGAAAATAGTTTATTCTAAAATAATTATCACATTTATACTTTCAAGGAGTAATAAAATACTTAAAATTTTATATGTCTTAAAAAAGTTATTAAATTTATTTAAATTATACTTAAAATTTTATATGTCTTAAAAAAGTTATTAAATTTATTTAAATTATAATAAATTATTAAATAATTTAATTATATTACCGTTAATTTAATATTATTTTTAAAAGAAAATCATTAAATTGAAGTAATGGTTATTGATCACATACAAAGGGTATAGAATAAATATAGCATAGTAAAAGGGAAGATATTTCTTTTTGGGAAATAAAATTTGAGAAGTGGGCAACACCCGGTAAAGAAAAGAACAAAAGGGAAAATGAAGTGAAAATCTTTGGTCCTCTTCTTTCCTATCTTTGGATTCGAGATGTCACGTCCACGCGTCACATATCAGTATTTCTATTAACAGAATAAAATAAAAATATGTCACTTTAATTTTAATTTTCGTCAACCACACATGTCATATATCTACTCTAAGAAACGGCATATTTCTTTGTTTTTAGAAAAAAGGATAATTGTTTGGACTACCGTTCTCTGCGGGTTAAAAACAAAGTTCATGAAATATTTTTTAAAAAGGAAGAATGATATTTTGGAATAAGAAATAAAGAAGCGAATAAAAGAAAAACAATTGTTCGTATCCATGCATGCAATATAGATAAGCAGGGGGCATAATAAATGAGTATAGAGTTCGAATTTCTACAAGCTTGAAGTTCCGCCCGCCATAGGAATTTAACGTCGCTTGCAAAATGAATAAATTTGAAATTTTTAAACTCGAAGTTCGATGAAATCTTCGTATTTAAAACTTGGTTCAATTTGAAAAATTTTAAATCTGAGTTCCGATTGAAGGCTCAATTACCTTTATAAAAAGTATTATGTTAAGGTATTGTATAAAAAAATTTGAAATAAAACTTAGACGAACTTTCGCAGCTAACCATTTATTTAGGCTTGAAACTCGCACTCGTTTGCCTAAATGAGCTGTCTTGATTTTGCAGTTTTTAAACTCTTTTTGAGTGCGAGCTCAGAATAATTAGCGAAGACACGACTTGTGTCGTTTACACCTCTAATTAAACAAATTTAATACTTTTACCATTTAGGATTATCTCATTTTTTTTTTTTGGTTAAATATGTTATTTTTTTTTAGTGAGTGGTCATATACGCATCTAGTGTCTAGATATTGTAAAATAATATTATTCTAACACATCTAAACGAGTAGCAGAGTTCCCGTTAGCTCAGCCTATAACTAGCCAAGCTTCAGGCATTGAGCCCTTCGACACATCTCATTACAACACAACAAATTTCGTTTCTTCGATCTTTTTAGTTTCCAAAACACCAAAACATAAGATGCTGTTTACTGTGCTTTGAACGCAAGATTGCCCTTCTTCCAATCCCCTGCATGCCAAGGGCGTTTAAGGGTCTCGTTACCGATGCGAACAATCTTGTTCCTAAAATCCTTCCTAGGTCGTTAGAGCATCGAGACTGTTCAAGGAAATGGAGGATTGGAACTATTAAGAAGACTTACACTCCACGAGCGGTAATCATTTTATTAAATAAATTAGGCTGTTAATTTATTAGTTCTTTGAGTTGTAATTAACCAGAGTCTTTGTTTAATGCATGGCATGTAAACGAATTGAAGTCGTTCAAACAATTAAAGTAGACAATTATGACCCACAGAAACTATGTATACGAGATACAGTATATACGAAAGGAGAACCATCGATTGATGGAATAGAGGAAAAGTCACAGTTTGGAATAGACTAATAGAGGGTTTCCAGGTGATGGAGGATCTGTTGTCCATGTTAGGTTTTCAAAAACCTATCCAAAGGGTAATAATGCTGCGCTCCTTCAAGGACGCGTTGACGTCTGACAAACAAAAAAGCTTCGCAGGAATGCGTTCAGGCCATTGAAACAGTACCTGTGGCAAATCCTAATGCCTACTAATTCCATGTAATTTCAAATTTGAAGGCATGTGGGCTATGGTTGTTATCTTATGCTTTTTCTGTTTCTTTTTTTGTTTTTTTTTTTTTTTAATTTCCTGTTCAGACCAAAATAAATATAGATTATCTAGTTTTGGTCTGATAATAAAAGCTTGGATGTTATGTTAAATGGGTGCTTGAATTGCACCATACTATTGTAATCAGGTTTCAATCATATTCCTCTGAAATTAATTCTATTGTAATCAGGTTTCAATCATATTCCTTTGAAATTAATTATGGAAGCCTTTCGTTCTTATCCATTGTTTCCGATTTTCCAAATTCAAAGAATGAAAGGGATTTTTTTTTTTTTTTGGGTACAATAGAGAGAGATTAAAAATAAACTATCTACAATAAAACCTAAATAAGCTGCATCAACGAAATCATGATCAAGGCCAGAAAGAAAGGAGGAGACTCATAGATCCGAATTCCCAAAGGCAAAAAGGACGCAAAAACTGTTAAATTAAAGAAGATTAAGAAAGAAAGAGGAAAGAATTATGAGAAGAATCTGATGATGTTGTTAACTTGACACAGCATAGCTATTTATATAGCTTTACAGAACTGAAATGCAGAAAATTAGTTAACAGAAACGCCAAAAATCTGGAAGATGTTAACAAACAAAACAAATCAAATATTCCCAACAAATAGGGATTTATTTGACTAAAATAAAGACTAACAATTCCTCCCTTAAACTGAATGCCTTAAGCAATCAGTTTATAACTGATTCCTTTGAACATATGCCCAATAAAGCTCGCAACTTCTTCCTTTGAACATATGCCCAATAAAGCTCGCAACTTCAAAAAGGCATCCAATTTGAGAGCCTTGGTCATGATATCAGCCAGCTGTTCTTGTGAAGCACAGTACACCAATTCAACAGTGCCAGCTTTAGTAAGCTCTCGCAGAAAATGAAACCGAACATCTATATACTTGCTTCGTCCATGCATCACTGGTTTTTTTGAAAGCTTAATGACAGAATTATTGTCGCAATGAATCATAACTGACTTGTCTTGCTTAGGATCCAGCTTCTTCAAACTTCTTGTCAACCATACAGCTTGGCATGCACATGAAGCAGCTGAAATAAATTCCGCCTCTGTAGTGGATAAACTAACTACTCTGGCTATTTTTTTCGAAAAGACCAGACACTGCTCCTGAGCTAAAAAGAAAAAACATAGCCTGAAAGTGCTCTGTCCTATCCTCCAAATCTCCGGGCATAATCACTGGTCTTACATAAGGCAACCAGCTCAGTTATCTGTCCCCCTTCTTGTAGAAAATTCCCCCAAAATTTGCTGTTCCCTTCAGATATCTAAGCACCCTTTTTCGGGCAGGGCGCCGGCTGAGTGCGGTGAGGATACAATTAAGGACTACCCACTATTTGTTGTAGTATGTTCTTGTTCAACCGTAAGCTCCACTTTCATCTTCTAACAAGGGGCTTTAACACCTGGGAACAATGGATTATAAACAAACAGTAACTCAGTACTGTTATGCATTCCAAATTTCTGCAGAACCTCCAAGGCATATTTTCTTTGACTAAGAAAAATTCCATCTGAATTTTGGAAAATTTCCAAACCAAGAAAATATTTCATTCTCCTAAGATCTATCATATCAAACTGAATTTTCATGGACCTTTTAAAATCTGCAAACATCAATTCATCATTTCCAGTAAAAAAAAGATCGTCGACATACGAACTGATGATCAATATTTTTTCCATTCTTTGCTGTTTTGGTGAATAAAGTATGCTCATAATCACACTTGTCAAAACCCTCTTTCACAAAATATGATTCTAGTTTGCTGTATTAGTTTGCTGTATTAGGCTCGTGGTGCTTGTTTAAGCCCGTACAAAGCCTTTTTGAGTTTATAAACTTTATATTCTTCTCCCTTCTGCACATAACCACAAGGTTATTCCACAAACACATTTTCAGTTAATTCACCGTGTAAAAAGGCAGATTTCACGTCGAACTGGTAAATAGGCCACCCCTTTTGAGCTGCGAGTGCAATCACCAGCCGAATTGTCTCCATGCGTGCTACAGGGGCAAACACCTCATCTGCTACAGGGGCAAACACCTCATCATAGTCCACTCCATGTTGTTGAGCATACCCTTTCACCACCAATCGGGCTTTATATTTATTGACCTCTCCATTCTCATCAAATTTTGTCTTATAGACCCATTTTACTCCAATTGATTTTCCTCCTGCTGGCAAATCTGTCAACCCCCATGTGCCGTTTTTTTTTATGGCTTCCATCTCCACATCCATAGCTTGCCTCCATTTTTCATTTTTTACAGCATCTTCAAAATGAACAGGATCAGTATTTGCAAATAGAACCATATCAGCTTCCCCTTCAGAAAGTCCTTCACCTGTCTCATAATCTTTCATCCAAACTGGTGGCATTCTAGTTCTTTCAAGATTAGAAGTAGCAGATGAATTTGAAGAACTAGAATATTTGGAAGAACTAAGAATCCGAAGTTAGACGAATTAAGAGACATGGTTACCTCCGCATCAATTATCCGTCAGATTGACTGTTCAAGGTATCAAAACTGGTTCACTTGATACCATTTCTCCTGCACCCTCATCATCTCCATTTGCACCTCATCATCTTCCCATTCCAAGTCGCAAACAATGGATTGTTCATGCTGCTTTTCCCATTCCCATTGTTTGTCTTCTTCAAATACAACATCTCTGCTTATGATGATACGTTGGGAAATTGGATCATAAATACGATAAGCTTTTGATTCTTCACTGATTCCCAGCAAAACACAACATAAACTCTTGCTATCCAGCTTGGTTCTTTTATTATCTGGAATGTGAACATGAGAAATGCACCCAAACACTCCAAAATACTCAACCGAAGGTTTGACTCCACTCCACGCTTCCTCTGGTGTTTGATTCTTCATCGCCAAGGTAGGACTGCGATTCAAAACATGTGTTGTCCAATTAACAGCTTCTAGCCAAAAAGAGTTTGGAACTTTCTTCTCTGAAAGCATACTGCGAACCATATTCATAATAGTTCGATTTTTGCATTCAGCGATGCCGTTTTGCTGAGGCGTATAAGCAGCTGTCAATTGTCTTTTTATGCCATTATTATCATAAAAATCATTGAATTCTTGTGATGTAAACTCTCCAGCTCTGTCAGTGTGTAAAATTTTAACAAAAAAACCGGTCTCATTCTCAACATTTGCCTTGAATTTTTTAAAAACAGCAAAAGCTTCAGACTTTTCAGTTAGAAAATAGACCCATAATTTTCTGTTGTAGTCATCAATAAAGGTGAGCAAATACCTTTTGTTGCTATTAGAAACAGGCTTGATAGGTCCGCAAATGTCGGCATGAACTAATTGCAGAACTTGTGAAGCTCTCCAAGTACTCTTTTTAGGAAATGGATCACATTGTTGTTTCCCTACCAAGCAGTCTTTGCACAATTTCAGTGGAGCCTTCATTTGTGGCAACCCATGCACCATTGTTTTTTGTTGGAGAAGTTGCAGACCGCTGAAGCTTAGGTGTCCATAACGACAATGATAGTTGTGCTAAAATAGGCTAATGCTATAGGTTGAGATATAGCATTTAGAACAAACATTCGATTGGAAGCCATTACCATGTCCATAATCAACCCCTTTTGAGGATGGTACACTTTGCACTTATTATGCTGAAACAAGATAGAGAGACCCTTTTCTTGAAGTGCCCAATACTGAGCAAATTATTCTTCAAATCTGGTACATAAAATACGCCTGTGATGGTCTGTGCTATCCCATGCATTAGCAGCCTGATATTGCCTTTGCCTCTGACATTCAAGCTAGAATTGTTGCCTAGCTTCACAAAATCTTTAAATCTTTCATCAAGATCAAAGAAATACTCCTTCTTCCCGCACATGTGATTGCTGCAACCTGAGTCGAGAAACCAAGTATCTTCTTTATTGGCAATATTTGTTTCCAAATATGCCATATCAAGATCAAAGAAATACTCCTTCTTCCCTCACATGTGATTGCTGCAACCTGAGTCGAGAAACCAAGTATCTTCTTTATTGGCAATATTTGTTTCCAAATATGCCATCAACAACATCTCTTCTTGCGCCTCAACAAAATGCACCTCCTTTTCTTTTTGTGAACACTCCCATTGAAAGTGCCTAAGGTTGTGACAATGGTAGCACTCAATTGTTGATTTGTCAAAACTCTGTCTGCCTCTGCCTTGTCCACAACCCCGACTATTACCGCGACCTCTTCCTCCAGAATGATCTCCATGTGAAACTTTCAAAGCATGCTCTTCTTCATTCTGAGAATTCATGCGTTGTTCATGCACAAGCAGACTACTTTGTAGCTCATCAATAGTTAGCATGCTTGTGTCCTTTGATTCTTCAATTAAACAAACAACATAATTAAATTTGGGGGTCATGGATCTTAGAATTTTTTCAACCACAACAGCATCACCCTTGTCCTCACCATTTGCTTTCATTTTATTAGCAATGGTAAGAGTTCGGGCAATAAACTCATTCATAGTTTCTCCAGTCTTCATGTGAAGAATTTCAAAGTCTTTTCGAAGAGCTTGCAGCTGTGCATGCTTAACACGAGTTGTTTCGTGATATTTCTGCTTCAGAGAGTCCCATATGTCTTTTGCTGTATCCTTTTTGAGGATTTTCTCCAGGACTTACCGATCCATTGCTTGAAATAGAAAATTCTTCGCTTTCAAGTCTTTCAATTTCTGATCTTCAAAGCTTTTATTTTGTGCGTCTGTCAAAGATACTCCTTCTGCTGCTGCAGGAACTCTATCTTCTACCAAGTGCCAATACTCTTTTGAGCGTAAGAAATTTTCCATGAGCATCGCCCAATGATCATAATGCCATCAAATTTGGGTATTGCTGGTTGAACAAAAGAAGATTGAGTTGTCATATTTGAATCACAGAAAAGAAGAAAGACACTTATAGAAGACTGCTACTTCTAACCCCCTAAGGGATCTGATACCAAATGTTAAATTAAAGAAGAAAAGTGTTTAAATTAAGACAGATTAGAAAGAAAGAGGAGAAGAATAATGAAAGAAATCTGATGATTGTTATTAACTAAAGGGTTTTTTTTTTTTTTTTTTTGGGTACAAATACAGAGACTAAAAAGAAACTATCTAGAATAAAACCTAAATAAGATGCATCGGCTAAATCATGATCAAGGCCAAAAAGAAAGGAGGAGACTCATAGATCCCAATTCCCAAAGGCAAAAAGGCCGCAAAAACTTGGACAACCAATCAGCACCAGTTATTAGCTTCCCGAAAAATACAAGAGGGAAA